CTCCTCCTCCTCTGTCCGGTGCTGGTGTGGGGTGAAAATCCTCCACCTCAGACCATTCAGAGATGTAACTGTCTGCGATACTGTGGTCACTTTCCATGTAGCATTATGCTAATGCTAGCTGTCACGTTCTCTCGTCCTGGCCACACCTCTGCTCTCTAACCCCCTTCCCCACCCACACCCCCTCCCCTACCCACTTTGATGCATTTTTTAAATTTCGCCTTGGGGCTGAGTTATCTTTTCACAGGGCGGGTAAGATACACTTTAAGTTAGGAGAAAAGTGCCATATTTATTTTTAACATTTTGTCTCAAACAATAGTTTGGATCATGCTCTCCCTGAGATAATACAGTTTGATGTCATCAATTGCGCACCAGTGAACGTCTCTGGACCACAAGTATTTATTAACACGTTTTGGTCAAATCCAGGCATTAATTTATTGGGCTTTTGTTATCAGAATAAATACAGATATGTAGAGATTTGACATTTTTATGCTAATATCGGACTGATAATATCTGTAGGCCGATATTATCGGACATCCCTACTTGTAAGGATTCTTCTGCCTGCTGCTAATCTACCAGTGTATAAATCATGAGGGAGTATTAAATAGCATGATTAGCAGCTCCCTGTTCTTGTTTTGGCTGACAGTTATTACAGTGCGAATAATAACATTATGAATAACAGCAGTGTGTTGACCTTGTTGTGTTGTGCTGTGCTGTACTGTGAGCACAAATGTGCAAATATGGGGAGATTTCCAATGGCGTAAAAAGTCATCGCTTAATATGACGAGTTCAGAAAGAAGTCACTGGGGATGTGAGGGGATATTAAAAATGAGAGTAAGAAGATCAGTACTGTAGGAGCTGAGTGGAGGGATTATTACTGAGGTGACGCTGACAGAATTATTTTAAGAATGACGAGGAGGAATGGTTTTATAGGGAAGGCAAGATGTTCTTGTGGGTGATTAATAAGAAGCGTGACTTCAGAGATGTTGCACTGGCCCACTGTGTATGTAGGTGTGAGTGGGTGTTCAGCTGAACATTTTTGGTTTATGGGCTCTTGGTAGAAATTTTACTGGATTTTTAGCCTCAACTGATTTTAAAATATCCACTTAGTCTGTACTTCCTGTTATTTATATACCTCTGATATTTAAATGGGTTTAATATAATCTGACATCTAGCAATTACTGAACCAGGATTCATTCCTTATTTATTTATTTAATTGGGAAATGTGAATTTATATTGCAGCGTTTAATGAAGAAAATCTTTTTCTTTTTGCAAATTTAAGGAGTTCTTACAGTTTTACAAATTTCCAGTTGAATTGAGACTAAACCTTTTGTTGGTATTTGTGCAGTTTGAAATGATTTTTATCAGAAACTGGACTGTAACAGCGACTGCCAAATAAAAAGGTTAAATTTTGCATATTTTTAAATTTGTGTGACACTGAAAATGTCAACCAAGGGATACAAATATTTATAAAAAACAGTCATGCGGACCAGATGGACTTGTAAAGGCATCCATCCATCCATTTTCTGTACACGCTTCTTCCTTTTCAGGGTTGCGTGGATCACTGGTGCCCATATCCAGCAGTCACAGTGCGAGGGGCGGGGTACACCCTGGA